CTGAAGAACGGAATTACAAAGGACTAACTTTGTGCGAGTGAGTATTCAATTGTCAAAGATAACAGATATATTGGATACGTCATAAAGGGTCAGCCGCAACCCTGATCGCGATGACTCACCGCTCGCTATTGCGCCGATCATATAAAAAGCTGACAGCGTGGGGCTCTTTCTCGCCGCCTACAGTCGTCTTGTTCTTACATCTAGCCCTGAGCCTTTGTGAGTGCTCAAGAAGGAGTTTTACGGTCAGTCCGTCCTTCCAATTGGCGGACCCACACGGAACGTAAAGGAAGGTGATACAGAAAAGAGGGAAAGAAAAGGTTGGAAAAGGGAATGGTAACGGTAAGGCGAGGTCTTCCACCAAGTTCATAGGGTCAGACGTCGTCCCTCGGAGAATAGAAGTGCTAGGTGTGTCGGAGATGTTTCCTTTGAAGGTTTTTGTGTAAACTGTTCATGTTAAATGAAATTGTATCAAATGAAGACCGTGCATTGTGGTTCATAGCAGAGAAATTTCTATGAACCACTAAATTCCATTGAGAAAAGCTGAGGCATTCTCAAAAAATAATTATATAAATAACAAAATACCCAAACTGACTGTTAAGCCCCTGACTTCCATTTTTCTCTTGAAATGACATTGACACTGACCTATAAAAAACGACAATTTGAAAGGACCTCAACAGATTTGTTTCAACAACGTGCAATGGTAAAAACCCCGTCAATGAGGAGCGATTTTTACTAGCACGCTTGTTTCAATATACGATCTCCTGCGCTGGTTGGTCCCACTCTATCCGTCAAAAATTGTTCTACAAAATACTGATCCGCAATGATACTTAGGACCCATCTTTACCCAAGGAAAAAAAGAATGGAACAAGTTATTGAAGGTATTATGTGTACGCTGAGCCACAGCAGTGATCAAAGCGGAAAGCCTTGCACAAGCATTGCGCATATATTGGAAATTGTGCGCGTTTCCATTACTGTTTGTTTGTGATAGTCTTAATGTCACACGAGTAAGCACATAGCACGATAATCCCTCTCGAGATTATCAATCGAAAATCGGATTCAAATGGGACGGGCTTCTTGATACATCTTATCAAACGCTGTCTTTTTTCTTGTTACGAATTTTGTTTCTTTTAGTACTACTGTGAGTTCTGCTGGGATCGTGTTCACTACCGCACTGGATCGAGACGTAATGGAAACATCGCTTCCGACTTCGTTCGTAATGGGAGACCACACTAGATGCGTAAATAATAAGCCAGCGGTTGATAACAAGATAAGAATATTTGGATCGCTCTTCCATTTCATTAATTCCTAGTAACGGAAAGTGTAAGTGTGTAAGAGGCTCATTCAGAGCGGTGATCAGTCTGATGAGGACAGATTTCGGAAGCAAACGCTATGTGTCGAGGAAGAAGAACAGACTCAGGCGGATAAGAGATGCGTTGGCACGGAGGGGGCGGAAATAACAAAGCGTGTGCGAGCCAGTGCGGATTATAAGCAACAGTCAGCAGGTTTGTTGCTTTCAATACTAATGGCACTAAAGGATGCACAGGCCCTATTGGAGAACATCTGAAGTGTAGTTATAAAGAAAACTCACCTGGGAAAAGCGCAAAAAGGGCGTGAAACTCCTCAAAAATGGGTGTGGTTGGAAATTTCTCGGGAACCGCCCACTTGCCAGCCGTGATTGGCTGCGGAGGCATTCGTGCTCGTTTTGGGACCACAGGGAGTATTTGAACTCTGTCCTTTAAAGTAATCAATGTGATCCTGCCTGTTGCACTGGAATTGTTTCTTTTTTTTGTTGTTGTAATGTTGTTATGTTATGTATAGTGTTATGTAATTATGTTAGTGTTATGCAACTGGAGCGCATTATGCGGGCAAGTTCAGACAACTCGTCCAACGCGCGTCTTCCCACATCGCTAAGCGGCAGAGGGGGAGTCCCTGTTTAAAGCCCTGTTCGGCGTTTTTCTTTGGTTTTTTCGTCACTATCGGTCAAGCTGTCGCTATAACTACATTATCAACGGTATTTACCCCACAAATTCGTCCTGGAATGTTGCTTTAGTGTGTTGACGCAAGGACGCAACCAAACAAGCCCCCTAACCGCCTTATACACGCGAAGTTGGCAAAGTGGCGACCGTCCCTGCGCTGTGAAAGTGCACCGTCCCTTGCTGCTGTTGATCTAACAGCTCCACCTGTTAGGAGGAGTTTCTCGAAAATAAATAAAACAAAATTATTGGCGCACCAATGTAGCGATAACTATTCAAATTCATGAAACTAGCGGTTAGTCAACTCGAAGCCGGGCACGCATAGAAATTGCGGACGGCTTCTTTATCGCCAGGCAAATGATGCAGAAGTATAGAAAGAAGCGCCGACCCTACAACCTTGCTTCCCTCCACCTATGGAAAGCATTCGCCCTGAGGAATAAGCGTTTTAGAACACCTGGTACGATAGTGAGCTCTGAACTAGCAATTAAATGTGGGGATTTTTCCCCACCGACGAGAAATAAAGAATACGGAAACATGGACATGACCCCAATTGAAACCGCTAGCTTTGCCGCCTTATCTGCAAAACTTGAGCCATTCTCGTTGAAAATCCCTTAAACTTCACGTAATGTTGATTCGGCAACGTTGCGGTGGCAGCGTGGAGTGTTCCCATTGAGTCACTGGCAATTGGTAATAGTCAGTGTAGTGAGGATCCCCCACATTGTTCCACAAAACCTGCGCTATATATTGGCTTGAACCTCCCATGCAACGTCTCATGACTCTCTCTCGTCCCATGTAATCGTTCCCACTGAGCTGAGGACTCTTATTTGTAAACGTTGAAAGAGTTGTAGAAAAAAGGGAACAGTCAACGAAGGCTGGAAAGTATTGACGTTCCGTGTATTGATCTCATGACCTGTCCAGTACAACCTAAAACAAGGGCGCTGCAACATTGACGTATCAGTGTCACCCGATGAAATGGAAGAAATGAAAACCATTCTCTATGCAGACGACATACCCCTATGGCGAAGATCAGAGAAAAACGTTAGGGCGAGGTGCAGAAATGCGCGACAAGTGCTAACAAAGGGGCTCGGAATTAACCGGAAGAAGTACTCGGTAAAACTGACCACATTCCAGACGGCCATGCGGAAAGCATTGAAATATTGGAGGAATTCCGACTCTTGTGGGGCGGGGAAGGGCGACCTCGCCGTTGATGTGAATGCATTTACTGAACAATAAGCAAAGCACTTGATTGCACCTTCAGATCCGCCATTGTCTTGTGTATGTGATTCTATGGTTCCATGGTTTTGCGATCCTTACTTGGCGAATGACCCCAGTTAATATGAAACTAGTGAGATTTCTAGTCTAACGCGCTGCAGAGGTGGATTGTTTCCAAGATCCCTTCGTATCCGAATAATGCATCGCCAGACCGTCGTACGACTCTCTGTTGCATAATAAACACAGTAAACAATAGTAAACATAATAGCCTTTCAAAGAGGTCGATCAGCTTACGGCAATCCAAAGCTGGGTTGAGAATATTGTCAAACAGCGTATTCACCGCAACATGGTGAGGACCACGATGAGATTGGCTCTGTGACGAAATTGTCCGGACAAATAAGGCGAAGAACTCTGCAAAGAAGGCATGGACACAAGGCTTATAATACCATAAACGACAAGAATCCTCAGATAGGAAAACGGAAGAGCAGAGGTAAAACTATCGATGTCGTGAGGCGCGGACTGCGAAGAGACTCTGGATGTACACCAACGAGGAAACCTTTTATGTTTTTTGTGGAGGATCATGCCTCCATTTGAGAATTTTCACTATGGATACCGAATAGATACCGAAGAACCTAGCAGAGCAGGAAAAGCGGAAATCAACTGCAGTCTCATAGCAGTGCAGTGAGTGAACCAGAGTGACCGCGATTACTTCATCTCAGTTTGGTTTTCACCCGTGTTGGAGTGAAATCTCAAATCAAATGCTATCCAAGATAGGATTTTGGAGAGAGCCCTCGTCACCTTCACTATTCATAACGATCTGATTCACTAGCAAGGCGGTATGCCTGCACATGGATTGAATTTTTGGTAAAAGTCTGCTGCAGAGCCCATTTGTCCGACTTTGGGCTGCAAGAAGATTGGCCAGCCAAAACTTCCGATTGCAATGTAGCGAATTGTTTATTGTGGTCGGAAGCTGTGTTGAACTGAAAGGACCGTGCGGCGAACAACACAGTTTAAAGGGATCGCTAACAGCTGCTCTTCAAAAAGTAAGAGATGAAGTTTTGAAGGATGTCGTGTGGGCATGGCTCAATTTTTGTAGGGTAGGTTTCGAGAAAGTAAGTTCAGCCATTTTGAATAAGAAATGTTAGCAATTGTCTAAAAGGATGTGTTCTAATGTTGCTGTGCTTGATTCCCGGTACGACCTTTCTGGTTCAAACTGAGCCGCAATTATTTGTCACCATATCTACTATGCCCCACCCTGTAGACTCGGCAATAAAGGAAGCGAGTGCTCAAGGTGTCCACCGGAATGCTATGTGATGATCCAGGATGCTCAAACGGAAGGTGTCTTGTACAGTGGTAAGACCCTCGTAGCTATGTGACACCGAGGTCTAGCAAAAAGTATGAGAGAAGTTTCACTCCGCTGAAATAAGTATGCTGAACAGGGCCACTGAGGACGGGACTGGACAGGGCCAGAAACGATGGATATCCGAGTGGCAGACTGTCTTGTCTGACTAAAGATGCGAGAACAACTAATGCGATAGTGTGGACACGTGCTAAAGAGGCTACAGGCTTAGCTCATAAGGAAAAGCGGCTGCATCGAAGGTGCCAATTTTGAGATCGCGAGGAGCCTCAAAAGACGAAAGAGTACGGACGCCGGAAGGATGGAATTCACTACAGATAAGGCACAGAAACCTCAAAAAGGAAAAGTGGTAATGAGTCAGTTGTGGCCACTAGAGGCAACGTAGAAAATCTCGCTTGAGTGGATTCCTTCTTTCCCGCAAGTGTCTTCATACTCAGACAAAACTTTTCCTTTCTCTCTTATATATCCTCTGAAAGACTCCTCCTCTTCACGAAATAGTTTAATCTACTCTTTGACCTGAAAATATGTTACTACTGTATTCTATACGCTACTTATACGCTGAGTATTCTATTACGCGTATTCGCACATAAACAAGCATTGGTACACCTACTAATTCCTTTGTGCCTGCAGGTTTCCTGTGGTGAAAATGTAGTTGGAGCCACTCATAATATCTAATCAGAACTGAACAATTATCTAGAATCAAGTGAGAGTGCGAAACGGATGTCGTATACTAATCAACATTCGGAACGCAGTCTTTGTACCTCATGACGACGGATACCAAAACTCGAGATTCATTCAAAATCGGACACCTTGAATGGCCTTTGTTGTGAGGGCCTTGGACGGCAGTCCAAGTCGGCAGTTTGATGAAATGAATAGATTGCAAGGTAGCAGCTATTTCGGTATGGGAACAACATGACAAAGGTGACAAGTACAGCGTATAGTGTTAGCCACTGCCAGTCAAAGATATGAGTGCTTACTCGCTACCCTACATTGATTAGATATGAGTGTCTTTTTCGCAGCTCCACTCTTGATTAAATAGAGTGCCCTCCAAACTACATATTCACCGTTTTCTCTACCTACTTACACGTTTATCTCTCTATTTAGGTAGCCTTGTTTTATTATTGACACACATACTATAAACAACTTATCTTATGCTTTTATCCTTTATAAACAACTTACTGCAGTCATTCCCAAACAATGAAGATGCCTCAGGGAAGTGGTTACAATGGTTCGTATGATTAAGAGCGCGAACGACAGTATCGTCTAAGAGGGAAACGAACTATCTCTAGTATTTATGAATTATGTCGTTTACATTTTTTCGTCTATTATTAGAAGAGAAACAAACCTACGAAACCACACTCTATGGACGGTCAAGGGTAGGTCAGGCGGAAACAAGGGAACCCATAGAAAGAACTGCACCATGGGGCATCCAATCAAGCGGCGCTGATTGGAGGAATGGGGTTAAAACGTTCGAATTTGGAGAGCAGGGACAAAACGATTGGTAGCATAGGGTGCAGTATAAGAGAGAGAGATGTTATTGCCACAGGTAGGAAGACTAAAATCTGATGCCCATCCAGAACCTCCCGCTCATTGTTGGGTGAATGTGTCTTCCTGAAATTCAACCTTGTTACTACAGTTATGTTCCACACTGTAGATGCACACAGAAACTCAAATGGCCAATAGACGGTGGTTGTTAGCCTATTTTGTCTTGGGTTGAAATATACTTTTATACCTACATACATATATTGTATATTTTTATGTTACGAACACCGCTTCATTACAGGTTCTTCCTCGTCCCCCTCATCATAGCAACAGAACCACAAGGGGCTTTGGCGGACCCACTCAGCCTCGCCATTATGGCCCATCTCTCGTGTAGTTTCTCACGAAGCCATATGGAGGACCCAATTCTTTGAACCCTCTCACAGCCCGACCGTGGGCTTGCTAACCTTATATTGTTGAACGTCTACATGTTCTACTGTTTTATAATACATCGTCAGGCTCCGGCCGATATCAGACTTTGCGAATCGCTCGATTGGCTGGTACTGCAACGCAGCCGCGGACGCTACCTAATCGCTCGATCCGCAAAGTCTGACATCGGCCTCATCTAGCAGCTCTTTTTCAGAGCAAGCTAACAAGCCCTTTTAGATTGCTTCCACACTTCAGGAAGTCTGATAGGCGCATACGCATGAAAAATGGCCATTGGTCTAGCATGCGCAAACCCGATGGCTATTTTAATGCACATGAGCAAAGCTAGGGAGAACTGAAGTGTGAAAGCAACACTATGTGAGTGTTTAACCTTTCAGGTTCGAGTGTAACCTTGAGCTAAGTAGACCCCGTAGATTTCTTTTCATTTCTTATGCGAACCACTGCGTTTTATCTATTTCCATACCCTAAATGGTACGGTTAACAAGTTCTTACTCACTTTGTTTCTCAGTTTATCACGAATTTATCAGATTTTCTAAGTTATCAGTGGCAGCGATTTGCCTTCATTGACGAATTTTCTTTTGTCTATGATAACTTATTTTTGTAGCCTTCTAAGTTGTTTTTTATTAGTATTTCTTCACAGCCTTTTTATTCAGTTTATGATGTGCACCTAGAGGTAATCACGTTCTTCCCTGTGGTTGGACAAGAATTCTTCTAATAAAGATCATTGCATACCGACAAAAGTAGATGCAAGCAATTTTCGGGGTCTTGGTGTTGATCCAGAAAGCCTCCAAGGTTCGCCGCGCCGCAATATCGGATTCGCGCGACAATATTATGACCGCCACCTCAGGGAAAGTATCCCCATGACATCGAACTCTATGCTGCCCTAGGGGGTAGCTAACTTGAGACCTTTTCAGGTCATCCAGTTCATTTATCCTCACGCAGAAATGGCCTGCCCGTTTCCTCAATGTACTCCTCTTTGCATAAAAGGCGTGAAATTAAGTCACTACACCTGATGTCGTGCAGTCGCCGTCCGTACCGAGTGGACATATGACACAGGAAAGAGTTTCGTTTTTTTAGTAAGTAGTTTGTTTTTCTTTCTTATGCATGAGCGTATGGCCGCACTAATCCATTTCAGTTCTGCACACCCCTCTAATACAAAGAAAGCCACTAACACAAAGAAAGCCATCATTAGAGATATGATACGCACAGCCACCACCGTTTCATCAGGACGCGAAAATGAGACCGAATTGCTCGAAAAGGCGCGTCACGTATGCATAGAACAGGAGAACGCTATCCCACACCAGAAAATCCTTTGAGACACAGGCCATGGGTGGTAGAGGCTGGCCGCCGTGAAGGAGAAACAAACAAAGGTACCCTTTTGGGTTCCAATCCATATCTAGCAAACAATTTGTTCCCATTAGTTAGAGGAACAGTAGAAGATATCGGGTATACGTTCATAAATAGGGCCAGCATCGAGGTCTGGCTGACTGTGAACGTTTTAGAGCTGGACTCTGTTCAACCTGATACTCTTCCATCTCTCCCTCCAAGACTCCTAAAGTAAAGTATATAAACAATATTTGACCTATCCGAATCTACCCCGTTCAGTTCCGATGCAGAGCAACAAGTTGTTTAGGGGATTGCATACATTGTGGCAAGCAAACGATGTGTCCTTAGGTATGTCTGCTACCCTTCCAAAAGCACCCTATAGTTTCCAGATGTTTGAGTAGTTTGCAGTCCCCAACGCATTTCGGAAAATTGTAATCACGTAGTTTTGTCCTTCGGGAATGTTGGTAACTGGAGTTTCAAAAAATTACCTGGGCAAACAACACTTTTAACACGTTGACGACAAGCTGACGCGCATGCGCGTCAAGAATTTCGCACCGCATCGGACATTCTGACGCGCAAGCGCGTCAAGTCTATGCTACTCACTTTTATCGTGCTTGCGCTCCTTCCTCTCGGGTTTCTTGTATTCATTCTATAGATAATACATTAGCATGACTATAAACCGCTTGGCAGCTAGAGTGGTCAAGTATCTTTTGATTAAGCAAAGATTTTCCGAACGCACAAAACTTTCGTTCCGATTCTTTCTTAATAATACTTTCACTGCCGTCAATATTCTTATGAAAGATTTTAGAGTTAGTTGAAACAAAACTCTGTGAGTTTCAATATATTTGATTTGATGGGAGTACTTAGATATAAATGCTTTTAATTTCATTCGCAGCGAAAGTGATGTTTTTTTACTTCTTCGTGGTTATTATGCGCTCTTCTAACGAAAACCTTTTGCTACTTATATACTTAACCTTTGTGCGATCGTCCTTGCCGAAATAGTCCTATGAAATTCAAGTTATTGTGCATTTTTAACAAAAAATAAGCGTAAGTAAGGTGAGGACGGCGCGGTCGCAAAATCGCTCCTGTCCCACGAGGTGCAAAATGCCAAAACATGCGATGTCGTCAACGTGTTAAAAAACGTCACAAAAACAATTCGGCGTTATTCACGAGTGCCATACCTGGAATGTGCCACTGATTTGCTTCCATTCGGGATTGTGGCGGTACTTACTGAGTGCAATTTTACTTACACAGTGTCTAACGAGTACAAATAACAAGTCAGTAATTTGCCCTTCACAACTGTCTGGTACTTATTGACCGATACCCAAGGAGGAAGAAATGGTTGGCCAGGGTGAAATTCGACCCCCACTACATCACCTCCGGACACAGTGCTTGAATGTTCCGCGGAGAGACCGCCTATTACAAAGTTTATCAAACTACACAAAGCTATAGCTTAGAAATCGAATAAATTAATAACTTATTGCTTAAAAGTTTCTCCTATAAAACGTAGCACTGGTACATACAAGGGAAGCATTCCAATAATGTAATAACGGTGTATACTAATGAGTATCTAGTAATCACAACTTAACTGAACTACATTAATTACACACGAATCTAATGGTCCAATGGCACCAAGCACAATAAATTAAAAAGCTCCAAAACTCGAAAAATCAGCAAACCCTCCTCCTGGAGCCGCAGCGACAGTTTCTGCGGCGAAGGGATCTCTGAAAAATCATTACGATAAACGCCTCTTGTTAAGACATCTGTTAAGATTAATTGAAATTTCTTTACTGACGTGTTTGCAAATGGATCTCCATTCACAGGAGTTTGGCGAGCGCTAGATTTCGGTGGTGCTGGGCGTGGCGGTGGATTCTTCGCTGCCGCAGTCGATGGATCTGGAGCCATACCACCGTTCTGAAACATGTATAATGATACTTACCGTTTGCTTAGCAACCTACGCATTCCATTATGGGACAACGATGAAGCTCAAAATACTCCAATGAGAACAAAATGTACTTTTCTTAGTAAGGTGCCGTCCCGAAGCCTCATGAGTATCTAACTGTTGAACAACAGTTTGAGACTCCAGAAATTTACTTTTTTATAATAAATTTTTGAAGTCTCAAACTATTGTTGAACATAAAATGTACTGTTGAACATCTTTTCAAAAAAAAACTGAAGGTGCGCTCGGATTCAGGGCGTTATAGGTAAAAGGCTGAGGTGCTTTATGTGATGGAGAAAAAACACCCATGCATTCAGAAGATCACTCAAACACTGCCCTGGAGTATCAATGTGCTTTTGCAACAAATATTGTACAATGCACGTACGAAAACTCCGACTGTGTCTTCAGTCCAACTTTTGTTTCAAGATTTCCCCTTTCTGTCCGGTTTTTTGACCGAAATACTAGTTTCACCCAAGGAATGAACCAAATGAGCCATTGATATTGCCGTTTTAGCAACACTTCCTTGACACTAGGGGTGTGGTTCATTAGGAGAGAAAGCGACTTTTTCGCGATTCGCAGTAACATTTTTCGCTGCGGGAGCCTCTGGTTCACTGTTGATCAGCAGTGGACCCGAGGTATACGGAAAAATTTTCGCGCAGCGAAACGCTTAAAAGCGTAAAAGTCGCTTTCTGTCCTAGTGAACCAAACCCTGACAATAGCTCACGCTAATATGTGCTGGCTAAGGTGCCCTGCCAACAACTGCAGTGAACTTTTAAACTGCATCTTCATCGTAGCAAGCGACTCGTATAACTGACATGACACCACCACCTTGGAGAGGATTCCAATAGCAACTGGCGCAAATCATTAAAGAAAGCGTGACCATGTATGTTTGGCGGCTGTGGAGAACCAAAAAGAAAAAAGTACTTCACAACCAGGACACTCACAGCGTCATAGGGAGGCCACCTCCAGCAGTTGCACCACCTCCGAATGGATCTTGTGGAAAATGAATCGCGAAATTGCCTGAAAACATTATTAGCTTGAATACTATTTTTAGCGATTTCCAGCATGTGACTTACCCGAAGCGCAAGCAGCCAGCAAAGGGTCAAGTCTGCTGCGCGAACGGACGTCACGTGCTTGCATAGTGGCACTTACAACTGAGCGAATTGCAGGAACTTCAAACATACCAAGAAATATGCAAGGCTTACTAACCTGTCTGAACACCGGTAAAAGGGTCTGGCGGTTGATGAATGGCTTGGTTTGACGTGGAAGCTATGGAGAACGGAACGTCGTTAAACTAGAACAGAATCCGAATAACGAAAAAAGCAATCTTGCTCAGTCACCAAGAGCACGAGAACAAAACAGGGACTGCTTTACCAAATCTTTCCTAGAAATATCTTCCAACAGGCTTAGCTTGGAAGACAACTCCGTTGTTGGATCTGCTGACTTCAGCACATTCTGAATGTCGTTAACCACAGTTTCCGCATGCGCAATCGCTTCGTTGAGTTGAACACGCTGTGCTTCGTCACGCTGTCTCTTAGCGGCTCCACTGAAAATTGATTGCATAACTTCACAATCTTGTCTTGTTTATAATATTTGGATTGAAAAAAGGTATGGAAATCTTTTCACTTTGTTAGGAGTCGAAGGCTGACTCGTTGATCGTGGTAATGAAAAGGAGTGAAAGGGAAAAAAAAAATGAAAAATGCGTAAATAAACGTTAACTCCTCACCTCGGTGATTCTATCGACTGCGGTTTCCATACCTTTCTGCTCGTGGGTCAACTGACTCGTAAGGTTCAGGCGTTCTTCTACTTCGAGTTGGGCGAGCTCTGCTTTCAACTGCGCAATTTCTTGTAAATCAGCCTGCAATCCCAATATGATGATAATCATTTTTCTATTCCGATCTACTTCTTTAATGACGTAAATGAGCAGCACACAGTTACCCCTCACAGTGGACCAAGTGACAAAAAGTCATGAAAAACAATCCTAACAATCTGGATGGCTTTGTTTACGCTCACTGCTCTGAGGAGCATGTATGGAAGAATAAGCACTCGGCATGAGCCGCATCCTTTTGAGTGTCCTCTACAAGTTGGTTGAGTCTGCTCTGTGCTTCTTCCGCTTTCTTGGCTTGTGCTAGAGCTGCTGCTTCAAGCTGTCTAATTTGTTCATCTAGATCGGCTAAGCGACGTCCGGCTTCCGTTTTCTGTCGTTCAAGTTGTTTGACGGTTACTTCTAGCGTTCGAAGCTCGACCTTAACAAATCGTTGATCATGGTCAAGAAAAAAGAAAGTTCACGCATGCATGAACAACTACATACCTGAAGATTCTTGATCTGGCTGTCTTTCACCTTCATATCAGCTTCGAGCTGCGATACCTGAGCATCCGCCTCCCTGTAATGGTTCAAATGTCTGAGAAATGCCATGAATATAAAGCAAGCTTCAACAAGTGAGTGATTGTTGTCGCTGATGGAAACCAAACCTGCGATCGGAATAAGAGTTTCTCCATTTCTCGGCAAGTCGACGCATCTCACCTGAATCGCTTGCACTAATATGCTCTGCGTTGACTGTGTTCGCATCTGGGGCGGAGTGTCCATTCTCCTGTGAAGATTGAAAATGATGAACGGATAACTATAGTATCCGCACAATCGATCACATTCGCAGAAAATTACTTAGAATATGACAGTACTACAGTGTTAACTCAATGGAGCGAACACAGTTCCATGAAATCGAACCATTAAGTTAAAATCCTTGAATGGAATTCGGGATTTATTATTTCTATGTTAAGCCAAATAAATGGCCATTCATTACAGAACGGCATGTCAAGTGAATCACGAAAACTATAATAGATGCAAAGCATGCTGCATTAAATCTGACGAGGAAAGGTCACCAGGCCGGTCCGGCCATTTGCAATGAGGTGTATACCTACGCATTCGTCTTGAGACGATAAGCTAGAAACCGCTTTTCTTATCTGCTAAACGGTGCTCTGAACGGAGTTACGGAAGTTTTCCCCTCAACACTGTACTTAAACGCAGTATATGAGCGCTATCATTGGAGTCGCCACTATAAGCCAAGCGGGAAGGCGCACGTCGTGGTTGACGTGGCGTAAGTGGTAACGCTCCAGGCTTGTAGGCGAGAGGTCATGGGATCGGTCTCTCGTGGTGTTTGTTGTTTTGCCTTTTTGAAAACATGACCAGAAAGGCTTTTAGCGACAGTATCTCCTCAATTGCTGCCTTTACCTGCCTGTGTAAGGAGTTAGGGAGCACCTCTGCGCAGGTTGAAAGCTATTTTTAATTAATATTTGCCATGACTGAAAACGACGCTCATAGCCCACTGATAAGGTGTTTTTGCGGTAAACGAGTATGATATTCGTGTTCAGGAGACCGAATTTTCCCTGGTTACAAGTTTCCAGCTGAATCTGAGATTTTGACCTACACTCGAGAAAGGGCAGTCAACATACAGTCAAACGAGAGAAGGTATGAATCGAAAACTAACTGGAAAAGCACCTTCCCTGAATTTTGATGCAGAGTCATGTAAATCATTTCCATTATGCGGAATGTGAGCCGTTGAACGTTTCTCTTTTCAAAATCTTGGTTGGAAGGGCAATTTCCATGCCAAGAGTTCAACGATAGGTTGATGATATGATGGTTGACTCACCTCATTTTTTAGGGTTGGGTCAAAATCTCAGATTCGGTAGGAAACTTATCTCCAAGGGTAGTTTGATCTCCTGAACACGAATATCACAGGCCTGTTTGCCGCGAAAAAGCCTGACACGTGCATTACGGGCACCATGTTCATACATGGACGACTACTGCCCAAACCTGCAAGGAACTGCTCGAAATTTTTTCGTACAGGGAACTAACGGCAAAGTTGATAAATTAAGAAGTTAGAAGCTTTCTGGCTACATCTTCACGAAGCACAAAAGAAACAGACTCTCCGAGGAGCCGTTCCCACGACCTCTTGCTCGCGAGTTCGGGGCACTGCCACTGCGCTTCCTTGCTTTATAACTACGTTCAGAGAATCGTTTAGCAGATAAGGAAGGCAGTTCTGAGCTCAGCGCCTCGAGGCGACTTCAACGGTATACGACTCATTGCAAATGGCCGGACCGGCCTGATGACCTTCCCTCGTGAGTTATTTTGAATAAAATAATGCTGCATAGCAACTTTAACGATACTGTTAATGTCAAGCACCAACTGATCAGCAAAATAGCTCACTCACTGAGACTGAAAGCACTCGAAGAGATGGCGGTATTAAAAACTGTGGCAATGTTGATGGCAACTCCTCTCCACGTTTTCTCATGTTCACAAGATGGACACTATAACAACGACAATCTAGCAATATATATGCTACTCAAAGAAAATGTGAGAGTAATATTATTCAATATTTTTGTTGAATAGATTCACGAACACGTCAGACATGTATCTTATATCCTCTTATCTCTCTCATTGAACTTTCTCCGGGAAAAAAAACTAAAAAGGAGCTCTCGTTTTATTACGACAATTGGAAAAGGAACGTACATAAGAGCGAACTGTTCCTGGTTAAGCTTGCCAGTACGATTGATGTCACAGAGAGCCCATATGTGAGCGAGTGCCTGTTGCGGCAATCCTAGAAGCAAGTCATTTGCGATTGCTTTGACAATGCTACACAGAATTGAACTATTCATTTCTTTTGTGATGCAAGAACAACTGCGGCTTAAAGCTCTCTACTAGTACAACAGCTAATTTAGGCTCAGCTATTTCATGGAAGCATCATTGAATTTAGAACAAAAAAAAGTTCCAGAAGCAGCATACCTGAACCAAGGAGCACATGTTTAACGTCGTTCCCATTCACAAGGCCATCTGAATCCGTATCGCAGGCAGCGAATTGTGCTGCAGAAGCAAGTCGATCGACTGGCCATTCGAGGGATGAATTACTACTACTTCCAACGGACATGGACAGTGGACCACCCATTCCGCGAACGGGGGTTGCCGGCTGAAACCACAGCAGTACTATGTCAACTAGGTAAGAAACTACGTGCTCCGGAAATGGAAGAGAAAAGGCTAAAAAACACTAACCGCGCTTTCGTTTCTTGAGCCTTGGTTAGGCTGTACGGAGGCGCTCCTGTTCTCTACAGGAGGAAGTTTCGTAGTATGCCCAACGCCGTCCAGGGATGTCATGCTCCCAGTACGGGAACGGTAATCTGAAAAGTACTTTTTTGCGAAGAACTTGTACCGATTCTTCGCAACTTCCTCGAAAATTACAGCACCTCAACCATCTAGTTGCTAACACCTCTCAAGCATTTACTCAGTCTCAAGAGCAACGATCGCGATCAAAATTAATTTGAGGTAAGTTGCTTACTGGCTTGGCCTGGAATGAACTGAGACTGCGGAGGCATCCCAAAATTGAAAGATCCATTTCCAGCATGCATAGAAGCCACGGATGCTGTTGAGGTGCGCCTTGTTAGTGACATTTTGGATGGATGGATCAGAGAATTGGGAAGAACAGCAGGAACAGGTTCATTTTGTAAAGCCCTGCAATTCATTCTTAGCGAGGAATACACAAAATGAAAGGTGAATTGACACACCTGTAAACAAGATGCATGGCGACCGTCATTTCAATCCTGTCCAACTGACCATCTTTATCTTGGTCTGCTAACTCCCATATTTTCGCGAGAATGGCTGGGTTAAGACCCGAATTAAGGAGCACTGGACGAACTTTTGCTCCAGGAAGCTTACCATCAATAGGGCATAACGAATCAAAGATTGAATCATATTTAACCTAAATTTAATGAATCAAAGGTAAGCGCAAAGAAATTTCAAACCACTGGGACTACCAGAATTTAAATTGATTTTCCAAGCAATAAGTTGTTACGAATTCAACCCAAGAGAACTACTATTCAAACCTGGTCAGCAGCATTAATGCACCACTCGGTGCCCTGCGATGGCATTGATCCGTCATGAGAGAATTGGTGAGTCAGAGCAGCAGTACTCTTCACGATAACGCCTTCAAATTGTGGAGGAAGCAGATTAGGTAGCCCGATGGATGCGGGAGAAATCGGAAATCCTTAAATTGAACGTATCAAAGAAATTGAAAAAAAAGTGAAAACACAAAAAAAAGACAAACCTTGCTGAGTTGCAGCGACAAGTTTGATGCATTGAAAACTTTTCTTTGTCTGAGATCTTTTTTTGTAATTGCAATTCATATCTAATAATGAATTAGAACAATAATGGAAAACTAGTAACTGAAAAGTCGTCACCTGGCGAGTTGCTGACATTTAATTCGAACGTTTCAGATCTGCCGCTTCGCCAGCTGGAACTGCGGGACTGTTTGAAGGATTTGCCTGGAACGAAACGCATTGCTTTTTTTTTGTATGTGAATGAACTACACAGTTTGGAACTCTGAAGCAGGTTCGGATCAAATCAGGATCACATAAATTTCAAACATCCTGCGCGCTATGGTTATGGGAAGCCTTTGGTCCTAAATAACTTCGAAAATAATTCAAAAAGAGTATTAGTAAATTTCACGAGTGGGGGAGGCACACATCGCACTTGTCATTTTCTGTTACTGCTTGCTTTGCCAGCAAACCTATCGCAGTTGACATCTCCATCTTATACTAACAATTTTAGGTGACAAGGTTCAGCTACCGTCTTTGAGTAGACGGTTTATTTAATCTCTTCATTGCCGTTTTCCGAAATTCTCATTTAAACGGAGAGCACCACGGAGCTACGAAATCTCATGTCCTACCTCTTGAACATAGCTGCATTATGTTGTCATGGATTTCCCACAATTTTGCAAGTCTGCGTAAACGTTGTTATAAACGGGAAACCAATGACAATCTGAAAGAAACTTCAGTTATTACTTTAACCAACAGCAAACTATGTGAAGAGACATTCACGCACCAAAGCATAGACAAAATGAAGGTGCAGATACGCGTATAGGTCAGTTTAGGTTAATGCTTAGGCCAGATGTCAGAGTCCGATTGTCAACGCGCGATTTTCGCAAGAGTCTTGAAGAGTCGACCGTACTGAGCATGCTACTAGCGGTGGAGTCTATTTCAGTTGCGACTTGTGAAGGTGTGCGCAATTGGATTCGCTTTAAGCCGTCGCGAGTGTTGACGTCGGTAGTAGGCGATGTCAGTCTTTGCGAATTCGCCGATGTCGGCTAGCGTCCGCGGTGCTGCGTTGCGGACCACATTGAGTGATTCACTGGCCGGCCTAAGCACGGACTTGGATTAGGTAGCTACCGCTCGCGCGATCGCATTGTCGATATGTATCTCCCAAAACTGAACGAACGGTCGCAAAGTATGACAGTATCGCTGCGTGAGCGATCCCATAGGCACATGATTCTCGCCGCGGACAGATTCGAGTGAATATGACAAAATTTTTTTGGCTGGGAAATCGGTGGCGAATAGGATATAAGTATAATGAGTATCTTGAATCAGGTGGCAGCCTGTAACCATGCGTCAGATTCACGGAACTTTCAGCTTGGACTAAGCTTCGTGAAGAAAGAGGGGGAGGGGGGGGAGAAGCCGGGCCCGACGTAGCATCTTCATTCGCCGGAAATCTGTAAATCTGGCGTTACCGTTGGAGTGCTAGTGGCTTGTTCTGAGAGATGACTCCCGGAGGACTTGCGCCGAATTCAGATGTTAAAACGATTTCCCACTGCAAAAAACGCGGTGCAATCTCCCCTTATAACCATTTAAAATCATTAAGCCTTTTGAAAAAACAATATCCAGAGCGATGCTTTCCGTATGGTCGCTTCCTTGCAATTAATTGGCGATGGTTCATAACATTGAATTGAACTTGGAATGGGCACCTTACATATGGAGGACGGTGGGAATGTTCGGGTAATTTAAGGGATGAGGCACAAATATATGCTATGGATAGTATAATAAATAAGGAATTGATATACGCATAGTATATAACAAAGGTTTTTCTCTATGAACGAAGTAGGATACAAGTAAATCATCAAGCCCAAAAAATCTCAGGGAATAGAGACATCACGGAACAATTACAAAACCCTTATCCTAATAGTGCATTCTTGACGGAGTCTGTACTTATCATAATTGGATGCTAAATTAGAAGTTTACGGAGAAATAAGACTTTACGAGGTTCCTAACGACAATAAACAAAACCGAGCCAGGTTCACCAAAAAAGAAGTGTTTACCAAAACTGGTCACAATTACCGAAACCTTGACGCATTAGCTGTACAAAAGTAACCGCTTCAAGGGAACCCGCTAAGGTGCAACAAACCCTTCCATATAAAAGCTATTCAATCACAACATTGTTGAGCATTTCGCGAAACATACTCAGCCAATAATGTCCGATAAAAATCCATTGAAGCTTGAAATCCAATAAAATCGAAAGAATAGCGAGACAATCAGTGAAGGACCGACATTCGCATGGAAGCAGCTTATTGTTGGATGGATGAGGCCCTCGGTCTGACAAATTTATATAACTATGGGCCTCAGACCATAGTTATATTTGTCAGACCGATCGTCCAATAGCACAACCGAGTGGTATAGATATGTATCGACCAACAGGTTGGAATCGCCTGATCAGTTTGTATCTGCCTTTTAAGAATCCATGATTATTTTTGAAGTGGGTTATGGAGCCACTCGTTTGAGGATGTGGAATCGGGAACACCCAAAATACTTAACTAGACCTTCGCTATATTTTGAACTTTCGGTGATAGAAAGTAAATCCCATGACGCTGTAACCACCAATCCTTACTCTGCTTTTGTCCTACTTCTCGGTCTCAAGGGCGCACGCATAGTCGGTCGGACGACAGCAACTGTCGTACAGCATTGGATGCGTATCGATCGTCGGACTTGCCTGAGTATTCGACGATTAGATGCAGTTAGACAGTCAGACAGTTGCGATCGTTGCTGTCGGACGACCGACTATGCGCCCATAGTGCTTACGCTACACTTTCACCGCTTTTTGCATTGGTATTTTGTCGTGATGATCGACAATTGTCCAATTTCCGGTGATCGATTTCCAAAAATCATTGGATCATTTTGTGTATATTTTGGTCTAAGATTGTTACATAAGGAGGGTACCCTCGCTTAAATGATCAGAAATTGTTGCAAATTGCAAATTGGAGTGCTTGGCATTATACGAAGTTATTCCACTGACAAATTCTCGATGAAAAGGTGACGTCACGTGTGCTCAAAGATGTTCTTGAATCGATGCCACGTTAATGCCACGTCAATTTCTGCAATTGCACAATTTCTGGTCATTTGAAGACGAGGGTTATGCCTGATCTAGAAGAGGTAGAACACCGCCGTGGGTGTCTTTTTTTTATTGCCCCCTCTGTATGAATTACAAACCGTACAACACCAGTTAGCGGTGTATTAAAGAAGGGACTCCGTATATGGGCTTCCTCTACATATACTTTTGGAAGTGTGTACGTAGTATAGGATGTGTAGCAAAATTGGATAAGAAAAAGAAATTTCAAAAGAAATTGTACAAATCAACTTGATATCAACAATTTTATACAATAGACACCCTTCTTATGAATTTACACAGTTTGACAGGCGTTTTTGATTTTGATGCTTTTAAGAGTGGATTCACAAAAATTGAACTACGAACTGAGGCAGTCTCATTGCGTGCTTCTGAGTCTTCGTAATATCGACTTCTTCCGCTCGCCCTGAATACAGTACGTCTTAGGAGGCCTTTATTATCCCCAATGGTGTAGTTTCGAAAAGAGAAGGGAAACCAACGCTTTGTCCTCTTTTGCTAGCTCTCACCGCCATCATCGTGCTTCTTCCCCTGAGTTTCTTCTTTGGTTTCTTCCTTTGTTCTCCGGTTTCTACCGACTCGGTTGACGGTTTTTCCTATGAGACATTAGGAACGGTAGTGATAGTATAATCTCTTATCATTGGGACGCAGTTAGAGATCAAATTACGATTTTCAATATAAACGGTGTTGTAGCAGTGCGCGCTGCTTACCATCGCATATGGCCAGGGGGAGCGGGGGATTCCAAAAACCCTGACATCCGCAGTAAGTTTTATCAACCACCCTTTCATTCTTTCGGGGGTCGTTAATTGCAAAAGATTTGTCTGAAGGGGAAGACTTCGGATTATATACCGGCTGGACCTCGGAATTCATCACTGTGTAAGGTAAATCACATTCAAAGTGCCACTGCGATTCTAAATGGAGGTGGAATGCGCGGCGCATCCCAAGAGGGATTAACATGTGCATGAAGCAAACCCTAGGCGTCTGTTTCGCGTTTTTCTGTAGGTCTTCCAGGCTGTCTACGTTAGACTGGGGTTGAGATGGCGTGCAAAGGCCAACTTGACCATTATTTGGTGTGTGCCATGCTAAAAAAGGACCGCAAGTTTTTGGAGTCACTTATTTGCAAGGAGTCACCGCGCAACGCCAAGAACACTTCCACGCAAGCTCGAGAATTGACCTGGGGCCGTATCCTATCCTTCCGACAGTGGGACGCGTCCCCGTCGCTGATCCTATCCTGTTGCTGGGGTAGACAGGGTCGCGTCATAGTACCAACCATGCTCTGCGTTTCTAGACCCCAGACAATGCAACCTCTCAGAGAAAAAAGCTCAACAGGGAAGGACAACATCACCTGTTCTATGGGGCGTCATATAACGCAGCTCTGTCTTCCCCAAGCTCAGGAAACAATCAGCGGCCGGGTCCGCGTTCCCGGGGGAGTACGATCCGGCTGCCGGATTCGCGTCCTATGCGGGAAGAATAGGATACGGCTCCTGGGTTGAGGTGGGTCACCTATCGAGGAAATTGCCTTGGTTGACCACGCTCTCTCCCCACCCCACCCCATTTCCTCTCCAATCTTGCGAAAATGCAAACACCGTTGTGAAATTTACCTTGCTGGCGCCGACTTTTTGAGCTAGTGGAGCATTAAGCTCACGGCTTTCTTTTGACTCATCATCACAACTGAAGTCGAGCTTCGTCCTCATCACAATGGATGTCAACTTTGCTTTCACCTTGGATTCATCTCTGAAGGAGAAATAATACTGATATGATGCACTCAAGCGAACAGCCTCTTCGTTGAGAGTGCGAAAAACTATCCGAAAGTTTCACGAGTATTCCTTTCGCTGAAAGTACGGCGACAAAAGGTCGATTAGACCATTTCAACTCACATTGAATGAGCCTCGGCAATATCAGCGGACGTTATGCATTGTGAGATTAGCTGACCATTTGATCGTTTGGCTCCTTCTCTGAAAGAATGTGTCTTCTTTACTGTCAGTGGACCTCTCTTCCATTGGAAAACTCTTGAATTACCGAAATAGTGAGTCGAAAAACGGGTCACGTAAAACCTCCTTTCCGCATAATCTTGCCCTTGGTCGGTAAACAAGTATTTTACCGATGAAGAAAACGACATCAGGCCGAGCGCCAGGAAGGAGCTGGAAATAACTATCGCTCAGGGTATGTTGTCAATAGTTCTGGTAAGCCTCATACCGCTGCAAGACCGGTTCCGGCAGTCCTTTCCGGGAGGCTATCCGCCGATCTGGCAATCTTCATCGACCTAGAACATCAGAGTCGCAGTGGTAAATTAACAGGTGTAGTGTAGGTGTGAGACGAAATTCTGAGAGAGCCTGCAGTCCAGGGTAATTATATCATAAAAAATACGGCCGGCCGCCATCCCCATCTCGCTTCCCCTCTCCCACCCACTTCATCGTGCTCACCTTGACAATGAGGTTGGACTCGGCTAAAAAATGAAACACAACTCATAACGCATAATTGCTCTCGCAAGCACATCTGCACAGCCAGATACTCGCCAAACCTTTTCCGAAGCAAGAATGGTTGAGACTATCTAACACAACGACCAGTTGTTTCACCTATCACCAACGTCGCCATAGCATATTTATCAGCCTCATCTCATCTAACTAGCTCGACCGCAAGCCAGCGCACGCTGTTCTAGCATCCTGCTCCCTCTATAGAAAATTAGACACAAGAAATTCAAAAGTTTTGATTCAGAGTCTTGCTATCTAACAACTAGCTACCCTGCTGATACAGTACTGTACCTTACCTTACCTCCTCCACGGACATATCTTTTTCCAATCTCCTAGCTTTATCGAAAGCAAGTTGCGGATTTTGGCTTTAACTCCCCCACAGTGGTCCAAGCCCAGCTCACAAGTGCTCCCTTTCTCCTTTAGCTGACCTCTATCCATTTTCTACTAGCCGCACTCCGGATTTTAGCCCTATCCACCTCGGCATTAAAGGCACGAGTCGCGAATTGAATTGATGCGTTTTTCTGTCCGAAATTGGCAGGAGTGAATGAGAAGTCATTAGTGAGGAACAAAGCAAACAAGCCGCCATTGACCCATGCGATTTCCTTGTCAGGTGACCGCGGACATGAGGAGACACAGTGCTGCGTGGAGAGGGAAAGCGCGATGTAGTACGTCTTCCATGTTTGATAACGCTTTGCAGCACGGCAGCACACAATGCAGAGCCTTAGCGCCAGTGCTTCGAACTTTTGAGTCGCGCACAGTGTCCTCCCTGCTGCCCTTGGGACCTTTCTCCTTCACTCTTGAAGAGACTCTTGGGATCTCTCTGAAGCCAAGGCTTTAAGCTAAATTCGCGCTTTGCGACATACAGAAGAGTTATATTTGACTTCACTCACGTATGTAGTAGTTTGTCCGAAAGTGATATTAAATAACTACTTCATATCGATCGTAGGACTGCCCAAGGCTGCCCGAATCCCTTTCAATTGGTGCTTCGTAATCTCGACCGGGAAAAGCATGTTGCCTTTACCAATTTCTCCTTAACCCCAGCGCCGGCACACCATACATTGCAAGCCATTAAGAAGTGTAACAAAAACGAAAAATACCATTCATTCATGCACAGCGGAATTCAGAAGTGTGAAGCGCGCTGCACTATTTAGGAAAATTCGAGAGAAAACGGTCCCATGGGAAATGGACGCCCCCATTCCGTATATAGGTTTCTCTTGACGAGTTATTAACAACGCGAGATGTTTGGCCACTTTCGGTCGCCGATACCCGGTATCATGCCAACCGAGATCACCCCCTCCTTGATAACGCATACCTAGGAAACTAGATGATACGCTCTGCTAAACGGCTAGAGACCTACGGCGTGATTAGTTACTCGGTGGTCGTGCTGCGTCGATAGCGCCGTGAGGTCATCGCACGGCTCGCCGTAGTTCTGCTTCGTTGGCGACTAGCGTTTTCGCGCTATACTCTTAAAGGCTCGTCTGTCTTCTCTTAGTAAGTTTCTCCTTTTTGGAACTCCGACATTATCGTGGAATCCTCCTTTACATAAGCTCGATCACTACGACCAAGCATGGCCCTCTCCGTGGCGGGATTTACGTTCCGCTCCCACAAGAAACTTCTTAGCTGAACGTATCTCGGAAGGTATATTACTTGACTGCTACGGCAAGGTGTAATGGCAACAATAAAATTCAACTAGATGAGCGCTACCTCCCCCGCCCCTCCAAGGTCAGCGCTTTTTGTGAATTTCAGCATTCTTGTCAATTTCTCACTCGTTCACTGCTTGTGGATCAGCTATCACAGCATCATTCGAGACATGCGCCTTTGATTCTTCTCAGCACCAGCCCTCGTTCCTCATGTTTGATCAGCTCTCATTTATTATTGTATTCAATCTAATCGTTCGGCAAAGAAGCAGAAATCACTGACCAACTGTCCAATTGTAATTTTCAGATCCGAGTAGTAATTCCGGGTGTCGTAAACGTGTCACATTGAAAGCATCATAGGCCACTTCACAGAAGTCAGGTGAATACGAATTTAGAACCTGATACGGTGTTGACGTCATTCCTGGCCGTACAACCTTTGCGGAACCAAAATCGCCAATTTCAAAAGACCCTGTAAGGTCTGCAAGATATTGACTGGTTTCCACGTTGGTGCATATTTGTAACTGACCAAGGGGAATACTTTTATAGTCTTTTTCCTCTATCAACGAATCTTGGACCTGCAAACCTACCTGACTGAGATATTGTAGGCCATTAAACATTTGCCAAGTGTAGATTTTCATGTCGACAAGATCGAGTGAGTTGTTCTCGATCAAAGATCCCAATGTATCAGGCATAAAATCGAAAACGAATGATTCGCATATCTGAATCGGTTCCTTTTTGTGCTGCTCTAACTTGTTGTACGGTCCAAAGATTAATGATCTGGAAATTAAACAAACAACAGCCGAATCGGAAGAGAACTTCATGGCGCAACCCGAAAGAAAACAAATATGCCGATTGGTTCAACCCCCATTGGAACAAGCTGATCCATAACACACTCGATTTCTCGAGGGGACGTTCAGAACAGGGAATTTGGTAGGTGGCACTAGGACTAAGCCCAGGAGAGGGGAGAAGCTCCAGCGATGACAAGGTTAGCTCACATTCAACCCCAGGATCCCTGCGCCTCCTCAGGGTACCCGTCGTGAGGACCTCCGCGTGGCGAGAAGGCTGAGATCGGCTTACGGGTCGCAGCACGTATCGTGCGATATGGGACGTAATATAGTACATTCTATTGAACATGATTGCACGATACGACTCGTCCACTGACCCCTCTGCGTCACCGCCTTCCCGCCATACGACGGGCCTCCTGTCGGGACCCCCTCCTCTTCAAGGCTTATGTCTAGTCACAAGCACAGTAAATGGCTCACTTACATGAATGGCCTTCCTGACAACTTGAGCGATTATTGTTGTGCCCTAATCCCTCAGGCGAAGTTTATAGTTCGCGAACTGCGATCGGGCTACTAGGCTTTGGAGAAAAGGGAACGTATCAATCAGACAAGTAGACGAGTAGGCTGTTAGGTTATTAGGTAAGTAGGCAAAAAGTCACATGCGTATCGATTCATCTGATCCGCCCAGTGAATACTCGCCTAAGATAGGTGTCAGACTTGGCGTATAGCGTCGCAATGGCAAAGGGGTGTGGTTCGCTAGAACAGAAAGCGACTTTTTCGCGTTTCGCAGCGCGAAACATTTTTCGCTGCGGAACTCCAGGTCCACTCATGATCAGCGGTGGACCTGAGGTTTCCGCAGCGAAAAATTTTCGCGCTGCGAAACGCGAAAAAGTCGCTTTCTGTCCTAGCAAACCATCACCCATGGCGGAGTGCAACCAGGCTCTCTACTTTCCCACCTTTTCCCAGAGAGTACTCTGTCGTTCACGCGTTGAATCTCGACACTTTCCAACCCTCTCAGATCGCATATGCACCAATATGCAGCGCAGTCGTGATAGCGTTGTCCTATCACTTGGCCTTCTGCCATCGCGAGAAGAAATGTCGAGTCCTACACCTGTCTAGTAGCCCACTCATCTACTCACCTATTCGCCTAATCGATACATATGCTTTTCGTCTTGAATACTCATCCAATCGCCTAATAGCGTGGTCGCCTATTTGCCTAATCGATATGCATGCTTCCTTTTTGCATGCTTGCCTGATCGCGTATGCGATCGCGTACTGTGAACGTTGCCTCACTAGCAAGCAAACTTTGTGGCGCCGAGATTCTCCGGATACCTAGTTACAAGCTGTAATTAATGGTAAAGGTAGAAGGAGTAATCGAATACCCGGTCATCTCGTTTGTTCGAGAAGGCATAGATCATTTGTATAATATTCTTATGTTTTTCTCTACTGATTCCGGTAAGAAATATCATTTCAAAATTGCGATCTTTACTTTCTGAAAAACAGTAAGATTAGGAAAAAGGAAAATTAAAAGAAATTGGGGCGCAGCTCCACCTCCCACATGGTGCTCTGAGGCTGCCCCTGCCGCTGCCGCATGGGCTGCAGAATGATCTGGTTTGGTAGCAACTATGTTTCCGACAGCACCTCCGCGCGAACCCGAACGTGCACCTGCACCTCTAGGGGCCGATTCAACTGGGCTGTATGGTTCAGGCGCGGAATAACTCGATTCATCAGGGAGTACATATCCCTTCTCCTTTCGTTTCGGACAAAGTACAGTATTCTGCATCATCGCCATTTCTTCCAGGCTTGCCTGGATGTCCTGGGAAACCAACGGCGCCTTCTTCCCCAGGGACTCCCTAAAAATGTTTTCCTCCGAATTCTGATGTACGAAAATGATGGAATTGATGGCGAAGAAAGAAGACTTACCACTGGTCCTGGTGGACCTTGAGGTCCTGGCAGAGCATCATCTCCGCGCTCTCCTGGCAATCCTTCGTCGCCTTCCATTCCTGCTGGTCCAATTTCTCCTTTCGGGCCTGGAG